TGGCTAAGATAACAAACAATAAAAATGCATTGCTTACTGTTCTGGAAGCAGCAAAGTCCAAGACCAAGGTATTAGCAAATTTTGTTTCCAGTGAGAGCCTATTTCTGACAGTTGTCACCTTCTATCCACCACCATATAATGGAGGAGGCCACCTTTGACCTTTCTTACGCCATTTCTGAGGACTAAGCTCTCAGGACTTTCTAAACCTGTCCAAGCTATCCTCAAATTCCTTATCCTCTTGCCTCAGCCTCCCCAGTGCTGAGGTTAAGTGAGTACCATACCACCTTACCCTGCTAAAGCTCTGCCTCTTAACAGTCTCGTTAGGTATTGGATTCCAGTATATGAACTAGGACTGGGGGAGCAGCGTTCAGACCACAGCAAGAGGTTTGGAACCGGAGTGACAATGAGCACAGGGCTTTGCAGATCTACAGTGGCCAGACATGAAAAGCAACGTTTAAGATTCTCCTGCATGATAATAAACACAAAGTCCATTCCCTAAGGAAACTTCCTCCCACCCCACCCAACACGCAAACACCTCTGCCCATCACCACCCTGGAGCCACACTGACTACCCACAACAATTTTAGATTCAGCTTTTCCCCATACAAAAATCTTGCTGATAGTCAGGCGGTGGTGGCACCTGCCTTTAATCCCAGCACTCAGGAGGCAGAGGCAGGTGGATCTCTGATTCCTAGGCCAGCCTGGTCTACAGAGCAAGTTCCAGGACAACCAGGACTATAGAGAGAAACCCCATCTCCAAAAAAGAAAAGAAAGAAATCTTGCTGGCTTTTTGGTATGTATGAAGACAACAGCTTTCCAGTTCATGAGATAGCATGTCCGTCCATCTATTTAGGTTACCTTTGATTTCTTTCCCCAATGATTTGTAGTTTTAAGAGTGCAGATCCACAAATTTTGGTAGCTTTCCTTGTAAGTATTTATTCTTTTCAGAGTTAGCGACTGTTTTTGTTATTTTTCTTTTCTCTGTTGGTGAGACAGCTTCACTTTTCAGCAAAGGCTCGCATTAAATTCATGGTGATTTACCCACCTCAGCTTCCAAAGACTGGGATTACTTACAGGTGTGAGCCACCATACCAGGCTTCTTAAAAATCTCAATTTCTAATAATTTATTGCTAGAATACAGACATACGGTTTATTTTTACATGCTGACCTCACATCTGATGACCCCGTTAACTTACTTATTAATTCTAGTTTTTCTACATATTGCCAGTTAATTATCCACTCATCAGCATCCTCTCACCTAGCATCCATCCATCTACCCACCCATGTCTGTACCTGTTAGAAATTTGGCTATGCTGTTGAATGTGAGTGATGCACAGGCCCCCGTCTTGGGAAAAGCATTTGTTCCTTCCTTCCACTTAAGTGGGAAGTTAGCTATAGAGTTTTCATAGTCCGTCTCTTCCAGGAGGAAGTTCCCTTTTCTTCCGAGTCTGTTGACAATGTTTATCAGAGAGGGTGAATTCGGGGCCGGTGAAATGAATCAGTGGGTCCAGGTGCTTGTACCTGACGATGTAACCCTGATGATCTTCATTCCATCCCTGGAGCCCACACAAAGGTAGAGAGAGAACCAGCTCCACAGAGTCATCTTCTCACCTCCACAGGAATGTTCGTGGAGAGCTGGCGCTTGCCAATTAAGCTAGCTGACTGACCAGCAAGCTCCAGGGGCTTGCCTGCCTCTGCCTCCTCCCCAGTGCTGGGTTTACAAGACACAATACTTAGCTTTTTGCATGGACGCTAAGGATTAAACACAGGTCCTGAGACCTGTGAGGCGACTACTTTACTGACAGTTATCTCCCCAGCCCTGGTGCCTGGTCTTTAGCCCAGCTGTCCAAAAGATACCTTCTAATGTAACTGTAGGGTCTGGGACTGATGAGCTCTGCACAGTAGCTACAGCCAGTGTTTATCAGAGTTGAAGCTGTGTAAGTGTAGCTGTTTTGTGCTACATATAGTTTCTTTATGCTCCCATTGGGCTTTAGTGAAAATCCAGGTGTGGTTTTGCCTGTTTTACCTTCACATCCACACATCTCAAGAGTATGATAAAACAATCACTGGCTGTGTTGGCTGGCTTGAGGTTAACACTGACAAGGCTGCCTAAAAGATTTTACAAAACCCAGCCCCGAAATGCAAATACTCAGATTTGCCTGTGAGTCACCTAAGAAAGCACCTTAGGTTACTTTAACTCCTTAACTCTTACAGTTCCTAAAATGCTCCATTAGTCATTTTCCCTCATATTCTATTACTGAAGAAAGGATCTGGAGGCAAAGTTGATTCTCTCACTCTTTTAAGCCAAGTTATGATGAAGACTAAAGTGCCAGCAGCCATCTAAAGGTTCTCTACATTTTAAACAATTGTATTTATGTGTATGAGTGTCTGTGTGAGTATATGCCACCTATGTGGCACTCAGGCCAGGAGATGGAATCAGATCCCCCGAGCTAGAGTTCCAAGCAGCTGTGAGACACCATACCTGGGTGCTAGGACCTAAACCCAAGTCCTCTAGAAAAATGGCAATGGACCTTTATTAGCAAGTCATCTCTCCAGCTTACAGTGTGAGGTTTCTAACACCAAAATATGTTCAAGAGGATCACCTGGGGAGTCCGGTTAAAACTTAAAGTTTCAGAAGGTCCGAATCACCTGATTCTACAGAGGCCTAGGGTGGTAGTAATGCTGGCCCCAAGGGTTGGAAAAACAAGGAACTATAGATTTCCTTAGGCCTCACATCACAATGTTTATAAATGTATTAATACTTATGTTTTGTTTTCCAAGACAAGGTTTCTCTGTGTAACAGCCCTAGCTGTCTTGGAACTCACTTTGTAGACTACGCTGGCTTCAAACTCAGGGATCTGGCTGCCCCTGACTCTGCTGGGATTAAAGGCATTTACCTTTAAATACTAACATTTTATTTTATTTTTTTAAAGATTTATTTATTATATATACACTGTTCTGCCTGCATGTCAGTAGAGCGCACCAGGTCTCATTATAGATGGTTGTGAGCCATCATGTGGTTGCTGGGAATTGAACTCAGGACCTCTGGAAAAGCATTCAGTGCTCTTAACCTCTGAGCCATCTCTCCAGCCCAAATACTAACATTTTAAAAGCCAAATTTTGCCGAAGTAAAGGAATTAGAACGTTCTAGTTTATTCTTCCAGTTTAAACTTAAAGTCTAATTTTTTTGGAGTTTTTTTGTTTTGTTGTTTTATTTATTCTGAGGGAAGGTAGAGCCCTAACATTTAGCAAGGCTGAAGTCAAAGGCACAGGACCATCTAAGTGCCACATGATTCGAGTGGCCTTTCCTGCACTTGCCAGTGCAGAACCTGCTGAACAGACACGGCAGTTAGGAGAGATTGTAAACGCTGGGCCCCAACGTCCTTCCACATAAAAAGTAAATTCTACCACACAGCCAACCACACCTTTGCAAGGGGGCAAACACTGAGTTCGGCTCCTGCCCCTGCTCACAGAGATGGCAAAGTCCAGCAGTGAACTGATAACCAACGTTCAGTACAAACCACTCCATCTCCGTTCTGAGGAGCAAGTTAGAGGCAAGTTCTATTTGCCTTCAAAGGCCTACTGAGTAAACTAAGCAAGGTCCTAGGCCTTGCAGTCCACGGGGCTCACTTCTGATTATCTGAACTGTACTCACCATTAAGTCTTTTAAAACAGGATCACACAGTCCCCACACGTATAGTCTCTTCACTAACAGCAATAGCTAACACAGAAGCAATACATCCTTGAGAGCATTCCAGATTACTGGATTAAGATTGGTTTAAAATTCAAATATAGATAATTTCTCTACCTGTTTATCACTAAAGCCCTTCAAAACTATGAATCAGAAGACCATGCCTTCCACAGAGAAGAAGAAAAAACCCTCCATGATTCTGCAACCTACAAACACTGGGACTTTATTTACAGGGTGTCCACACATGACTTTTCTCCCAAAAAAGGCGAATGCGTGCAGTCAGCTAAGCACAACAGGCCCGATGCTCCCTGAAAGAAAATGCTTGTACATTACAGTTCTGTGCAAACGGCTTCTCTGTCTGGCTGGGAAGTCTATAAAGTTTTGAGGCCTCAGTGGAAGGCTACCAGTGACAGGGAGCAGGAGGGATACCAAGATTTTTCTAAACTGGACTATGCTCTGTTCACAACAGAAATAAACCAAAACTCAGACAGACCTGCTACAAAACCACAAAACAGAAACAGAACCCACAAGCCCTTGAATTAAACACTCTGGAGGATAAAATACTAAAATAAGAGGACTCTGAGAAATGTGCTCTAGTATGTCTAAGTCCAACAGATAGTTCTTCGTATCTCTCACCTCCCATACTGGCCGCCCTACCAAAGTGACTTAACTCTGGGTACCAACTGGTCAGTCCCAACCATTGCTGAGTCCAGGACTACGGGATGCAAAGGAGGGCTCAAGCGTCCGCAGTAAAGACTGAAGGCTTTATGGGTAGATCTGGACTCCCCCACTGCATCTGGGCTACATGCCTCCATTCAACAAATATTTATTGAGCGTCCACCATCTGCTGGGCACCCTGCTAGGCGCCAGGGAGGAAACCATGCCACAGTCCCCGGCCTCTGTTAGCAGAGAATCGTCTGGGGTTACACGAACCAGAAAACCTGCCACAAGTTGCTAAGCACAGTAGTAGCCAGGGGGTGGCACGGCCCTCGCAACCGGCTCCGCGCACCAAGCTCTTCGACGAAGCAGGGAGAGCACAGGTAGGCCCCGGTGCAGGTGTGCAGGTACCAGGAACCCCTAAGGCTTCCGAGCTGCAGAGGGCAGGCTCCTGACGAGGGCGCGGTCCCCAGAGGAGCAGGGACCGCAGCCCGAGGACCTTGGAGTGTGGGGTGCGCGGGGCCGGGGGCCACGCAGCCCGGACTTGGCTCTGGCCCACCGGGCCTGCCCCCCGTGGCCGGGTGCGGGGAAGAGAGGCGCGGGCTAGGCCGCCGACCCGCCCTCCCGTACCTGGAGCCCCGCCCGACACCTACCACTTGGGCGACCTTGAGGCGGCCGAGCGCGCCGCGCAGGTAGTCGGGGTCGCAGCGCAGGCCGGCCAGCCCGCGGCGCTGGCTCACCGGCTCGGTGGTGGGCTGGTACGGGCTGCTGGCGCCCGAGATCATGGAGGTGCTCGAGGCCTCGCCCTCGAAGCCGTCCAGCTCCTCGCCGCCCCGCATGCTGCCGTCCCGCGCGGCCGGTTCCCCAGCGCCAGGAGCGGGAGGACTCAGCGCGGTCGTCGCATCGCCCTGGCCTGACCACCCCGCCGCCGCCTCTGCGCCTGCCGCCCGCTGCGGCCGCCGCTCGGTCCGCTGGGGCTCGGCTCCCGCCGCCTCGGCAGCGGAAAGGGAGGGAGGCGGGAGCGGGCGCCGAGGGAAGGAGGCGGGAGCCGCGCGCCGGCCCGGAGGGGGCGGAGACTGCGGCCGGCGCGGGGAGGGGCGGGGCGCTGAGGGCTGGGGGTGGGGGTCGTCCAGGAGAGGAGGGGCGTTGCAGGCTGGGGCGGGGCCGGTGGGCCTTGGTCACGCCCCCACCACGCCCTCACCTGCTGGGCATCTGGCATGGGATCCAGTAGATGCCTGCTCTCCTCTGGCTAGAAATGGACCAGCCAAGCAAAAGAGGAGAAAAAGGTGAAGAGAATGGAGTTTGACCAAGGAGTCGGGAAGCTGCTTTCTCCGTCCGCAGCCTCAGAGTCTGCTTTAGAGAAAATAGGATCCTGTGCAGGTATTCTGGGGGACTTCCCGGTGACAACTATGCTTGGGAGTGGAGAGATAAAGAGCGCACCTGTGGCTCACAGGGCATGTGACACCCTCTTCTGGCCTCGACAAGCACCTGCATTCACATGCACATATACCCTCCCAAACATACACACACACACACACACACACACACACACACACACACACACACACACGGGGGGGGGATCTTAAAAAAGAGAAACAGACTATGCTGGATGGTGAGATGAGTAAAAGAACTTGCCAAGCTTAATGACCTAAGTTTGATTCCGGGGACCCACATGGTAAGATCAAAGAACCTAGTCATCCCTCAAGTTGGCCCCTGACCTCCACATACACACACTCCTACACACACTAAATAAGTAATGTGATAAAGGTCAGCTATGTCTCTGCACAGTGCCAGGCACAAGTGCCTGGTTCAAGCTAGACCTGACTGCAGCTGTGTAACACAAGGTGTAGGTTCCCACACTGACACAAACGAATTCTGTGCCAGAGGTGCAGTGTGCAGGGGGGAGAAGTCAAGGCTAATGGAGCCTGCAGAACCCACGCAAACCTGTGTCAATTTAGGATCTGGTGGCTTGACATAGGAGGGGTATGAGCACACAGTAGGCCTTCAGCAATTAATATTAGTCTCCCTTCTTAGCTGAGAAAGGTTTTGCTACCTCTAAGCATCAAGCTAGGTGAATTTTTGCCCTGGAGGCATTAATTATGGGCCAATTTGTCATTCAAGTGGGAAGACTAATTTTAAGCTTAAGTAAAACACTGACTTTCTAAGAATTGTCACTTTGACACTGAGTCTTTCAGCACTCTGAACACAGAGCTTGCTCTGCTCTGGGCCTTGGGGAAAGCACTTGGATGATGTGTTATAATCATTACTATGTTACACAAACACAGACAGAAGTACCAGAGAGGAAGTGGCTTGTCCAAGAGCACACAGATACTCCGAGAGTAGAGCACAGGTTCTAACTTTTTCCAACCATGAAAGGACAATAGGTTAAATAGCTTGACTTGCCAAATTGTTTGGGGGCACCTACTGTAAGCTAAGCAATATGCTAAGAATTGAGGACAGGGATATTGATAAATTTCAGTGGGTGAAGATGCTTGCTACCAAACCTGACCACTTTTGTTTAGTTCCTGTGACCCACATGGTAAAGAAATGAACCAATTCTTGTAAGTTGTCCTCTGACTCCAAAAGCATATGTCAGAGTGCTGCCACCCCAAGAATACATACAATAGTTTTTTTTTTATTTTGAAGATATACTCTACTCTCTCTTTAAAATCCTGCAGAAACGACAGCAGGTCTCCTTTTCAAAGGGCACAGAGACAAAGAATGGAAAAGAAGACCCTGGCAACACAATATTGGAAGCTGGGAAACAAACATGCACACAGTAACTGATACAGTACATCGAAGAGAACAGAGCTCCAGGCTGGCAGTGGGAAAGGTGAGAATGCAACCCAGATTACACATTAGAACAGAAGGCTCAGGAGCGCCAAAAAAGGTCTAAAAGGAGGAGTGGTGGACCACGGGGATCGAAAAACAAACAAGATCCATTGAAAGCTCTGAAGAAGTACATACCTCCCATACCCCAGGTCTCAAGATAAGCTGTAGTCTCTCTCTCTCTCTCTCTCTCTCTCTCTCTCTCTCTCTCTCTCTCTCTCTCTCTCTCTCTCTCTCTGTGTGTGTGTGTGTGTGTGTGTTCATGCACATGCATATATATACATGTTCGTGCACACCTATGTTATCTCCATGTTTATTTTTCAATATTATAGCACAACAGAAAAGATCCAGATGCTCCACGTGGTATTTTCAAATTCATGCCCACTGTGAGTGGAATGGCCTGCAGGTTGGAGGGACTGCCAGGGTCTGGAATCTTCAGCCTTTCCCTAGTGTCAGGGTCTACCTCCATGATGTCGAGCTGAGGCCTTAGGAAGCGAATTCTCTCCATTCTCTCCTGCCCCTGCAGCTCGATGCAGGGACCTCTACAGGGCCTCTCTGAATCTGCTTATGTGTGGCATGGCTGTTAGACTCTTGTGCAGCTTCTTGCAGGGAAGCCGTGTGATCTGTGTGCACACACGTAGTGTGCAAATCACTGCGGGCATGTGGAGCACTTCACAATGAGCCCTACCAGTTCCATCACTGTTTCGGTAGGGGTGTGGCCCACGATGGTGGGTCCAGGTAAAAGAGGTTCAAGAGAGTCTCTTTAAAAGGTTTTTTTTAAAGGTTTTTTTTTTTTTAAAGAGAGTCTCTTTAAAAAAAATAACAACAACTGGGCAGTGGTGGCACACACGCCTTTAATCCCCTGCACTCGGGAGGCAGAGGCAGGCAAATCTCTGAGTTTGAGGCCAGCCTGGTCTACAGAGTGAGTTACAGGGCAGCCAGGACTACACAAAGCAACCCTGTCTCAAGAAGGAAAATGAAAAAGAACAACCAAACTTCACTCATTTAGAAGGCATGTGTGAGAGTGCAGGCACACAACACAAGTGTGCAGGTCAGCCTTGGAGGTTGATCCTCACCACCCTGCTTGAGACAACATTTCTTTCATTGTTCACTGATGGGAATACCAGGCTAGCTGGTCCAACAGCTCCTGGCAATTCTTCTGTCTGTACCTTAATTCTCCTAGTAGACAGTATTAGGGGCATGCTAGAATTACAGACATTTGTGCTACTGTTATGTAAGGATTTTTATGTGAATTCTGGAGCTCCAAACTCAAACACAGGTTGTCAGACTAGCATGGCCAGCACTTTGCACCATCCATGGGGCTGGGGATAGGAATCTCTTAAACAGAGATATCTAGGCACAGTAAAGGGCAAGGCAGAGCACCTTACTAAAAATTGAAATGAATTAAGTGGAAGTTTGCTTATTAAATGTAGAGACCCCAGGCTTCTTTCCCAAGAGATCAAAAAATTGCAACTCATCTCTAGACAACTTAGGTAGCTAGAAAGAAATACCTAAAGAGACTTGCAAAGTTCCTCCAGGTACAGCTGGCCAGTTCTCCCTGTCGCTGAGTCGACAGCTGAGAAATATTACCTAAGCCATCGACATTCAAATGAGCTCTATAGGTCCAATCAGCTTTAAAATAGGATGGCTTAAGGTCACTGAACAATTAAGGAACATCAATCGTGTAATGTAAGTCAAAACAAGGAAAATCATCTGGGAAGAACTTAGCAAGAAGACTTGTAAGGCATGTCATCACCTGCTTACATGTGTGTGGGGACTAAGCAATGAACTGACAGCTGCAAAAAAAAAGTTATTAAGGTGCATGTGTATCATTTTATAAATATATCATTATATTTGTATATATGCAAATATGTACGTATCCTAAGTATTTGCAAAGAATATATGTGATTGTACACGGGGGAGGGTCTATCTAGACCCTGCCCCAAATGACATGACAGACTTTGAGGATTCCCCCAAGGAAGGCCTCACCCTCCCTGAGGAGTGGATGGGGGATGGGATGGGGTGGGGTCAGTGGGGGCATGAGAAGGAGAGGGAACTGGGATTGATAAGTAAAATAAGATTGTTTCTAATTTAAATAAAAATTCATTTTTTAAAACAAGAAAATATGTGACCACAGAAGATTTAGACACTAGTGTGGTGGTGCATGCCTATAATTAATTCCTCATTGACGATGCACAGGCAGGATGATTGCTTCAGTTTAGCCTTAAACCAACGGTCCTCAACCTTCCTGCTGCTGCAACCCTTTAGTACAGCTCCTCATGTTGTGATGACTCCCAACCTAAGATTTTGTTGCTACTTCACAACTGTAATTTTGCTACTGTTATGAATTGTAATGCAAATGAATTTAATATACAGGATATCTGATCTGCAATCTCCAAGAAGGTCAAAACCCACAGGTTGAGAACTGTTGGTTTAAGCTCAGCCTGATCTTCATAGCTAGATTTAGGGCAGTCAGGTCTATATACTAGGTCCAGTCACAAAACCAAAACCAAAAGAACTTAGATGTGGTAGTGGCTTATACCTGTTGTCCCTACACTCAGGAGGTCACTTCTTTGCAGCCACTCTGGGATACTTAGTGAACTCTAGACAAAGGGGACTACAGGAAAAATTTAAATGAAGATAGTGCCAAGCAGAGCATGATTACAAATGTCTATAGTCCCAAGCACTAAGGAGGCTGAGGAAGAAGAGTCTAAAGGTGGAAGGAAGAAAGGGAGGGAGGAAGGAAGGAAGGAAAAGATAGACTGCAAAAGAGAATTGTAAAAGAAAATACCCCGGTGGGAAGAGGTGGGGGGGGGAGCAAGAGGAGGTGTGGGAGGGTTAACTGTGGTTGGAATATAAAATGAAATCTTATATATATACGAAAAAAGAAAAAAACACTTGGACAAACACATGGAAAGATGCTCAGTGTCATTACTTAGGAAGAAAATGCAAATTGAAACCATTTCACGCTTGCTAGGATAGCAGAAATAAGAGAAGCAGAGCCGGGCAAAGCCCATATCTATATACAACCCAAGCACTTGGGTTGAGGCTGGAGCATGGCCATGAGGTTCTAAGTCAGCCTCAGCTACATGTGAGTTCTACAGAGTAAGACCCTGTCACAAAAGAAAAAAGGAAAAAAAAGAAAGAAAGAAAGAAAGAAAGAAAAGAAGAAAGGAAAAGAAAACTA